AAAAATTATACTAATCTTTGATTTGTTATTTAGATTTCATATCTTGTTAATTAAGCTTTACTTTTTAATCTGGGAAGCAGAAATTTTAATTGGAAAATCTATTCATGTTGGGATCTATTTTCTTCAGTCTTTAGTTAATTGTAGATATTAAAGAAAGAACAAGCTATAAATTTAGAGAAGGTGCTGGGAATATTTTAAAAATTATTTAAAAATTGACATGCTGTTAATTTTTAAAATTTAATTTATTATTATGTTTTAATTTGCTATAGGGCATATTCACCCACCAGAGAGAAACAGAGAGAGAGAGAGAAAGAGAGAGAGAGAGTGAGAAAGCAAGCCACCAGGTTGGGGACCCAAACCACTGTTGGCCATGTGAGAGTCTAGAGCCTTAACCACCATGCTACCTGCTGGCCCCACACATACTGTTAAATTTACCTTTTTTGTGATAAACATGCATATAATTTTTGACAAATGCATAAAGTTAAGTAACAGGCACCACAATCAAGAAATAGTATAACACCCATCACCTCCCCAAATTATCTTGTCTTGCTCTCTTTTCATTTAAAGGTTATTTATTGCTTTGGGGGAGGTATAGACAGAAAGGTAGATGAGTACCCCTAGAGGGTTTTACCACACATTAATCCTATTACCCTCAGCCTTCCGACAAGCCAGGATCAGAGGTAACCACATGCACACCCTACATGTTCAGGTTGGCTTGAATCCATCCTGGGCCTCCCATGTGACTTCAGTATTGCACAGCAGTGCCCTACTACCTGTGCCACTGTGGTTGGGCTTCATGTTATCTCTTTGTAGTCAACTCCTCATCTCACTCCCAAACCCTGGCACCACTGCTCTGTTCTCTGTCCCTATAGGTTTTCTTTATGAGAATGTGAGTAAAATTCACGCATGTTGTTATAAGTATCAGTAATTCATTCCTTTTTGTTGCTGAGTAGCATTCCATCCTATACTACAGTTTATCCTTTCATGGGTTGAAGGACAATTGAATTGTTTACAACTTTGGGTGATTACAAACAAAATTATGTACAGCTTTTTCAGTATACGTCTTCATTTTTGTGGGTGAATACTTAGAAGTGGAATTACTGGGTCATATATAAGTGATGGTTAATTTCATAAGAAATTGATTTCCTTCCAAAGTGGTTGTACCATTTTTGCATCCTCACCAGTAATGTATGAATGATCCAATTTTTCTACATCCTGGCCAGCATTTGTCAACTTTTTATTTTTTACAATTTTAACAGATATGTTGTAGTTTTTATTGGGGGTTTAATTTATATTTTCCTAATAACTAATGATGTTGAGATTATTTTTATGTGCTTTTTTTCTTATCCATATGTTTTCTTTGATAAAGTGTTTTGATCTTTTGTACACTTTTAAAATTGGGTTTGTTTGTCTCTTTCTCTCTCTCTCTCTTTCTCTTTCTTTCAATAGCCAGAGTTCCTTTTCTTTCTTTCTTTCTTTTTTTTTTTTTTGACACTCATGATGCCAAGAATTCATAGGGGATAGGTTTCAGAAGCTCATGCTTCTTTTCATTGGTTCTCACAAAGTATGCTTTTCTGAGTGGAGGAAGCTGGTGTTTCAGCTGAACCCAGGTTCCTTTGTCTTTGGTTTCTTTCTTTTTCTGATCATTTTCTTTCAGATGCTTTAGGAAGCTATCTCTGCTCTTAGAATACTTAATATGCACATTAATTCTCTTGATAAAAACCTTGCCCTTAACTTACTTGTTTACAACAGTGCCAACAGCATGTGGGGTACCAATGTAGACTCTTCCAGTTTTGCCATGGTAACATTTGTGGGGCATTCCTCTTTGAACAGTACCCATTTTCTTGATGTCTACAGTATCACTTTTCTTACAGATTCACATGTATATCGTCACAGGAATGACTCCATGTTTTCTAAAAGGCCTAGAGGACATATATTTGGTGCCTCTTCTCTTTCACTTTGTGTTTGTCATTTTGGTGAATTATTGGAAGATAGTGGTTCCAGCCAAAAGGCTGTTCATTTTCTTTCTTTCTTTTTGGAATGATTTTTGCTTAAGGGCGCATGTGCTTGCCAGAAAAAGAGAGAGAGAAAAAGTGAGAAATTGTCCCTCCACCCCCACCGGGAAGGTGGCCACACTGCAGTTCCTTCTCCTCCATTCTTCCCTTGGGATTTTGGGCATGTGTGCACACACACCTGGTATGAGTTTCAGCTGCGGGGTCTGGGACTTGAACTATGGTTGTCCATGTGGGAGTCCAGCACCTTAACCACTATGCCACCTACTGGCCCTGTTTGTTTTCTTATCAAGTTTTGGGGACTCTATATATTCTGGATGCAAGTCTTTTGTCATATATGTGATTTTCAAATATTTTCCCCCAGGGACCAGCAGATGGTATAGTGGTTACATCTCTGGACTCTCACATGCCGACTATGGTTTGAGTCATGGACTCTGTGGCTTAAAACTCATGCTGTGGGTGGGGACCAGCAGGTGGTGTGGTGGTTAAGGTGCTAAACACTCCCACATAGCCGACCATGGTTTGAGCTTTGAACCTGGTGGCTTGCTCTCTCTCTCTGTATGTGTCTCTCTGGTCAAATTAAAATAAATGAATGAATAAATAAAATAAAATAAATAATTAAGCAAACAAACTCATGTTGGGTGTATCTGCATGTGTATCCAAGATACTAGGAGGAGAATGGATGAGAAGGAATTCCATGGCCATCCCCCCTGAGGGGTGATTCTTCACTTTTCCTCTCACTGTCTCTGTTTATAGCTCTCTCTGGTGAGTGCACACAACTTAAGGCAAAAACCTCTAAAAAAAAATACAGTATTAATAACCCCATTATCTCAAAATACAGTATTTCCCCCCAGTCTGTGGTTTGCCTTTTTATTCTCCCTATAGTGTCTTTCATAGAGCAGAAGTTTTTAATGTTGAAGAAGTCCAATTTATTAACTTTTTCTTTTATGGGCCATGATTTTGGTGTCATATCTGAAAACTCTTTCTCTAACCCCAAGTTAGAGATTTTCCATATATTTTTTGAAAAGTTAATTTTTCTTTGCTTATGGATGTTCAGTTTGTCTATCATATTCTTTGAAAAGATTTTCTTTCTTCCCTTGATTGCCTTTAAGGTACGGAAATTTTTAATCAAGGAATTTATATTATATTTCTACATCATAAGAAACTTACTTAGTTGTCTGATTATTATTTGTATTTTTATAATCTATCCTAAACTTTCCAGAGAGGGTACAAAAATTTACCAAGATTTCTCAAAAAAAAATTTTTTATTACTTTCAAATAAAAAAAGAATGCATTACCTTTTTTTAGAAGTAAGGAAGTGGAAAGTCTGATTAATCAGCTCTGTCAAGATTGATATATTGCGGGGCCGGAATGTGGCATGGTGGTTAAGGGCACTGGACTCCCACATGGCCGACCATAGTTCGAGTCCCAGATCTGGCGGATTACTTTCTCACTTTCTTGCTTGCTCTCTCTCACACTGTCCCTCTCTGGTCAAGTTAAAATAAATAAATGGATAAATAAAGTTAAATATAACAATTCCTTAGAAAAGAAAAATAATTGATGTATTGCAAAATACACAGTGAGAAGAAAACTGGATCTGGTGGCAGAAGACAACGATTTTACTCTGAGCTCTGCCCAACTGTGTTACTTTGGTGAATCAACTCTGACTAGCACCAGTTCAAATGGTGCTATTTCAATAGCACCAAGGAAAGGTGATAGCACAGGGTGACTTCAGAATGTGAACCTGGAACATGAATCTGGGCCCTTTCTATATGGCCTCGGCATCATGGAGTGTTGTGTTATTGCTGTGCCACTATAGGTGGCCATGAATTCATTTCATAATGGTGACACAAACTCAAAATGTGGCTGGGAACAGAGGATCTCATTGACTTTTGTTAACATGGTACATAAGAATTTACAGTGCCAGCAGAATGCTTTCTGTTTTTTTGTTTTAACAGCTGGATCAAGCAACACTCTCTCTAGCTGTGAGGGAAGACTACCTTGATAACAGCACAGAAGCCAAGTCTGTAAGTTTGATTCGTATTCAACTGTGTGCCTTGTCAGGCTGTTGTGCAGTTCATCAGTTCTAAGATCCTTGCATATTTACTGGAAATGAACATATCTTCAATGTAGGAAGCAAAGGCCTTTTATTCAGATAAAGTCCACCTGTCTTCTGGAAGTCTGGGCATCAAAACGATACAAATTCCTGTGTTCAGTGCCCTCAAATCTAGCTGGGGAGACAGGAAATCTAGATGAAGTAACCAGGTAATGAGCTTGCAGTCATTCTTCAGAAATGCAGAGAGCTCACTATCCATTGCAATAGTAAAGCATGAGGCAGGATACCCAGGTGACCCGTGTCTCTCAGATTATATTGCTTAAGAATCACCTGGCCTGAGAAGTATCTATTAAATTTTGATTCTTAGGTCACAGCTCTGGAGAGTCCAATTTAGTAGATTTGAGGCAAGGTCTGGGAATTTGTATTTTTAAAGGTGTCCCAGGTTAATGGAGGGTTAATGAGAGCTAGAAGAGATCAATCATGCTAGATCACTTAGGTTGGCTTGGAAACCTAGTAGTTTTCTGGAAGTTGGAAAGAGCTGCTTCATCCTTACACTTTAAACTCATTTTGGAAACTTTATTGAACTTCCAAGGGAGCCTCAGACCTAGGTCCCATGGGTCTGTGCTGATACTGACTTCTATATGTAGAAGGCTCAGGAGAGCAGAAAACTAGTCAAGACCCCAGGCCACTTTCTAGCTGAGGATACTCATCAAAGAGGGTTGGCAAGATTTCCTTCTTCGAAGTAAGCATAATGAATTTTTGTCAGCCTGAGGGTGCCACTGTTTCAGCTGAAGTCTTAGCAATCAGGTGCAAAATAATTTTCCCTTATAACCAGTCAAGTCCTAGTGATTCTACCTTCAAAATATCTCTGCCATTCACCTGGTCCCTCCTTTATATCCTTACTGACCTAAGTCAGGTCCTCCTCCACTCTTGCCTTCATAGGCAGGCAGTCTTTTGACTAGTACTTCCTCCCGTTCACTCCCTCACCTCCTTAGCATCTTTTGACAAGTTTCTTTGCTCTCAAGATAGGGTCTAAATTTTTTAGAGTGCGTACAAAGCCTCTCTTTATTATTATTTTTATTATTTATTATTTTTATACATTCAGTCATTATACATCATTTAGTTTGTAAAGAGATTTTATCCAACATGATATACACCACATAGCAGACGAGTTGATACTACTATACATATCAACACCAACAGGCAACAAACCATACCTGTGTAACACATATGTCTTACTTCTTCATATTTTACTTGATCCCAAGCCATCTTTCCTATTTTTACCTTCCTCCCACAAACTCAACTCACCCAACTCAAATGGAACTTCACTGCTCTCAGACCTGTCTCCTTCAACTGCTGTCCCCAATTTCTCCAGGCTAAAATTCCTCTCTAGCTCTGGAGTGTCCAATCTCATAACAGCTTTATTAAGGAAATTATTTTGGTCTCTGGTGTCAAGTTAGTAATTCCATGTTTGTCTCTCTCACTGGATTTCACAGTTTGAAAATCATATCCAAGCATTATTTAATTTTTCATGTACATCTCCTTCCCCTAACATATGCAGAGTGTCTAGCAAGCCACCCTGCATGTGTATTGAGTAGGCACTCAATAAATATTTTTGATTGGGTAGGAAAGGCAAAACATTGTTTATAATTCAGACTATTTGCAAAACTTGCTTACTGATTCAATTCATAGGTATTAAGGCCCTCTATGCCAGCCACATACATAGGAAGAATAGCTATAATAGAGTCAAGGTGGACATTAGGAAATGTATTCCTATAGCATGATTAGGAGGTCACTTAATACCAGGTGTGTTGGGTTGTCACAGATGTATCTGAAATAAGAGGTGGGCTCTAGCGAGATTCTTTAATTCCTTGAAGTGTGGTCTGCCCCCCCCCCTTTGTCCAATGACATGAATAGTCAAAAAATTGGCATTTGGGGAGAAATTATGTATTTGCTATTTGATGTGTTTCTCATCATTCTTCTTCTTGCCCTTCTTTTTTTTTTTCTGAGCTAGGGAGCAGAATTTTGTAAAAACTGTATAAAACTGAAACCACTGGTCTTTTATTTCTTAGCGTGAAGGTGGGTAAATTGAGCTGGAAGATAATAAATCATACTTTTCTCCAGTCTTCATGGATCAGGCCTTTTTGCTTTTAGAAACAGTTCTTTCCCATTATTATATTAAAGCCTCACTTGCCTGGAAAGAAAATATCTGACCTTTAACATTCTATTCTGGACTCATTTGGAGATATTTCATGTATCCATAATATCCCAGGTTGCCACAGAACTAGTTCTCTTGATGCTTGATGACTGGAAATCTCTGTCATGGAAACAGTACCCAAGTAACTACCACTCTTTTCTCTCCCAAAGGGGTAGGTGGGTGGTTAGTATTGCATAATGCCTGTATCATACTTTGTGTATAGAGTGAAAATTAAGAATATTTATTTCCACCTGATGTTTCTGCTCTTCTGTCTCCCTAACACATAGTTTCTCATAGGCTGTTGTCATGGGCACTTACTTCTTTATCTTTTACAGTATCGGGATGCCCTTTACAAGTTCATGGTGGATACTGCCGTGCTTTTAGGAGCTAACAGCTCCCGAGCAGAGCATGACATGAAGTCAGTGCTTAGATTGGAAATTAAGATAGCTGAGGTGAGTCATAAACAAAAATCTCTTTCTTTTCCTTTATTTCCTTTTCTATATTTTTAAAGGCGGTAAATCCTAAATGAAAATATAAATTGTAACCAAATAATAGTATTCTGTGTCATTGCCCTTTAGGACTTTCCCTAATAGCATCTCCTCTGGGAAATATCAAGAAAAACTGTTCCTGTAGCTCTTTAAGGTGACAATATGTAACAATTCATTGTATATTTCAAAAAAGCTGGAAGACAGGATTTTGAATATTCCCAACAGAAAGAAACAATGAACATTTTGAGGTGATAGATTTTATAATTACCCTGATTTGATTCTTACACATTGTATACATATATCAAACTATCACAGCATACCCCATAAATATATATCATTGTCATTTGTCAATTTATTATATTACCAATAATAATAAGAAACATAACAAAAAAAGAGCTTTTCTTTCTTCACATCCTTCTGGTTTAAGGCTATCAAATATTCCTATACTGCTCAGCTGTGGCCAAAGAATAGCAGCTGGGAGATCCTCTGACTGTTTTCCTAAAGAAACTCCTACGTGGCTCAAATAGTAGATAGATGTTTAATAAGCCCTATTGATCTGGCTTGAATAGAAAATCACTTTTAATTCAGTCTAGTTTTTATACTGTGGTCTGGCTCAGGGAAGTCTGTCTACCTACAGTAGATACAACCTTTGATGTAGAAAGTGAGTCAGGCCTGCTGGTAAACATTTTTAAGCTGCCCTCCTAGTGCTACTTTGTACCCATCCCTGTCTTTCATTTTTTTCTCACCCCACTTTAATGAATCTCATTGGGTCATATGTTATATTTTGTGTAAGGTGTCTTAAATTGTTTCAGGCTCATGGTAGAGACTAAAAGATAGAGAAATAAACTCATGGGAGAACAATGAGAAATCCTAAATGGTTATTTTTTTAAAATAACTTTCTTTCTACAAGTGGCAAAGTGTAAAATCTCCATATATTTTCAGGTCCAGAGAGAAAAAATATAGTAAAATCTGCTTGTGGGGAAACCCTGTAGTGAAAACAAAAACAAAACCAAAAACATGCCCACTTTTACCAAGAAACTGTTGTATATCGGTTGGTAGTCTTTTATAATGGGAATTTGGTAAAAATCCTGAAGTGAGTGGAGTGTTTATTGGCTTTGTGTTTGGCTAGGTGGCGGTTCAAGTTGTGGAGTAGAGGTGTAAAGGATAGGCGTCAGAAGCAATTAGTTTCTCTCTCTGTTGTGATGATGTCCATGTCTTGTTCCCTCCAAACTCTTACTACAATGCTTAAAGTCCCTCCCTACAAGACGTCACCTTTGAAGACTGGGAAGACTGCTGCAGATGTTTTGAAGTCCCAGACTGTGCCTCTAAGTCATGTCTAGAGGCTGTCTAGATTCCCTTCCCAGGCAAATAGGAGGCCCAGAGCTTGAATTTGGATTAGAGCTCTAATACAGCAGAGAAGGCCTTGCCCTGAGCCAGGGATTTGGACCAAAAAAGGAACTAAAAACAGCTGGGTTGAGGCAAGACTGGGAATGTCAAGAGGCTCGATGAAGTGACAAATCTCTTGTGTGGAGGAGAGTAGCTGGCAGAGAGCTGAAAACAGCTCTGAGGCCAAAGAGCTTCAACCTGGGGGTGCTAGCCTGAATTGAGGGAGGAGAAGGCATGGCTGGAAGAGGAGTGTGGACTTTCTCTGAGGTAATGATTCACACAAAACCAGGAAGTTATAAGCTACATGTAGTCCCCGTGTGGTGGGTGAGGAGGGAGAAGCTAAAGGCACTGAAGCATTTAGGAAAGAGAGGACAGACATCTACCTCTGTGATTTTGCCTTGAGGAATCTATGGTGTATTAAATCATGGTCTGTTGATAATGCTCACTTCCTTCTTTCATGCCTCAGGTCACCAGGTACATTCAAAATTAGTGGGACACATAGTCCCAAAACAAGAAGCTAGGAGACAAGACAGCCCAGTCAAGCATAGACAAGTCCTCATAAATGCAACCATAGAAGTGGACCTTGAACCAATCTCAGCTAGAGAAATGTGTGCACAAAAAGAGGTCTTGTTGATGGAGTACCCCTTATGGTTGGAACCAAGTGGAATTTAATTGGATTTGTTTGTTTGTTTGTTTTTTGGAGAGGTTTTTGCTATAGGGCACGTGCGCTTGCCAGACAGAGAGAGAGAGAGAGAGACAGAGAGAAAGCGAGAAATCACCCCCCAGGGGGGATGACCACACCACAATCCATTCTCCTCCATTCTCCTCTCGGGATCTTGGGCACGCATGCACACGCGCCTGGCGTGAGTTTTAAGCCACCGGGTCCGGGACGCGAAGCACGGTCGACTACGTGGGAGTCCAGCGACATAGCCATTACGCTAACTGCTGGTCCCCCAAGTGGAATTTAATTGGAAAGGCTTGCTAGAGGAAATGAATCTATCTCAGGCAGAGTCTTGAATCATAGTTCAAAACTTGGAGGTGGCAACATTTGGGTAGATAGGGGTTATGAGGGTGGAGAGTCATGTAGCAAGTTTAATGCACGGGAATGGGATGATAGAAGACCTTACAACAAAATCGTGTTGTGATTCAGGGATGAGTATGGAAGCTATTGCCTGCCAATGGAGGTGATTGTGATGGCCCTTGAGGAAGATAATCATTACTTTTGTTCTTAGATTAGTTTAAGCATGGTGGACACTAAGAAACTTAGAATTGGTGTTAGCTAAGCAGCAAAAAGCATGAATATTGAGAATGGAAAAAGTGTGAAGAGTCAGGGAAAGTGATACAAGATTATTTTCTTTTTATAAGTTTGTTTATTTCTTTTGGGAGAGAGAGAAAGAACCCCAAACAGAGTCTTGATGCTGCAATCCACTCCCACTCCAGCAGGCCTGGATCATGGGCACATGTGTATTCAGGGAGGTTTCCAGACGTGAACCTGAAATCTTTCTATGTGGGTCAGCTTCATAGTGTCACGTTTTACTGCTATACCACTGTCTGTCTCTCTGGAGATGCAAGTTTTGAAATGCGTGTCTAGGTGGTAACTGAATCCCTATCTCTAGCAGTGGGAACTGGGGAGTCTCAAGACCAAAGAAAAAAGATGGGAAAATAAAGGAATAACCTGTTGACAGAATGATCATGGGTAGCAGTGGTATCCAGATAGTTTAGTATTCTTAAGTGAAAATTTGCCCGTGGAGATGAAGGGATGGTCTGTAGTTTTTGAAATATTATGATCATTATCTGGAAACTACAGGTGAAAGGTGAAATCAGCATGTTTGTTTCAAATTTTTGACCTCAGTTTGACTGTTACAATGGAGCTAGGTATAGATTTTACCACCCATACTATAGATAAGGAGGGGATCCTAGGCAGTTCTTTCGTATTGGGGGATATTATTTCATGCTGAAAAGGACACAAAAGTTTCTTTTTATTTTATTAATCTTAGTCCTGCCTAAAGTGATCTTTTTTTCTCTCCCCCCGCTCAGTTGGGCATCACACCAGAGTCTTAAAAAACTTTGTAATACTATGCAGATGTTTTGGCAAATATAGAAAACAGTCATGCAGTAAGAAATGGTTCATTTGAAAAATAACCAAAGTCTCTTTCTGACAGATAATGATTCCACATGAAAATCGAACCAGTGAGGCCATGTACAACAAAATGAACATTTCCGAACTGAGTGCTATGATTCCCCAGGTTGGTGAAAGCCATCCAGGAAACTTTCTCTTTAACGGGTCATTTTTATAAGCGATTATATTTCATCTGTGTGTAAATTTTTCCTTATAAAACGATCAATCTTTTTGGTTATCATCATCTTTGTCAACTAGCACATAAAATATTCCTTGTCTGTGCATCGGGATGTCTTCTGTTATAGGGAAGGGAAAATCTTTCCAATAGTGGCTTAAAAACTTAAGTCCTGTTTTCTTACATGACCAAAGTGTAGACATAGGTAGTTGTTGGTACTGGTTTAGCTGTTTAACATGCCATCCAGTGTTGTCAAAGATCCAAATTCTTTGGATCTTTCCATTCCACACTTAGTGTGTTAGCTTTTTGACTTCACATTTGATAGCCAATGGTTGCAAGGTGGCTACCATGGCTTCATATATCACACCAGCTGTCAGGGTAGGAAGAAGGAGGAAGTGCCAGTGAGGGTCATGTCTGGCTCTTTTTCTTTAAAGAATTTTTGCTGTAGGACACATGCACTCACTGGAGTGAAACAGGGAGACAGAGACAGAGGGAAAGTGAAAAATCACCTCCTAGGGGGATGGCCAGGCTGCAATCCCTTCTCCTCCATTCTCCTCTCGGGTTTTTGGGCATGCACATGTGCCTGGCGTGAGTGTCAAGCCTCCAGGTGATATAACCATTATTCTATCTGCTCTTCTCATTGCTTGTTATCTCTCTGGTCCTCTACAGTAAAGTGAATATTGAAGACCACAGCTAGACGTGCAATGTAGGAGACAGTCCAACTGCTTCATTATGCAATCCTAAGCTTCACTTCCAGATGTCCACCTATGGTCCTTATTGTACCTATGACTCTTGAAAAAGTATGAGTGACAGTGAGACAAGATAGCCAGGAGGAAGTGGGACATGGAATCTAGTGCCAAAGGAGGGACCTGTAGTGCCTACTAAAAGGTCAAACCCTAGTAGATCAGGTAAGACAGAAAAGAGCAAATGCCTTCTCAGGAACTATGCTGTCGGGATCCAGAATTGAGGCCAACTGGATAAGGCAGTACTAGTGACAAAAATAAGATGCTTTGTCCTAGTAGAAGCTGTCTAGTAGGGAGAACATAGTATAAAGGAAGATTATGGGAGAGAGCAGGATGGAGAGAGAATGAAGTAGAGGAGAGTCCAGGAGGGAGAGAGAGTACTGGGGAAGGCCAAGGGCGTGAGGCTGCATATTACTGGAATGTGTGTGTGTGTGTGTCTGCTCTCCATATGTAGATGGTACAGAACATGTGTTCCATTTGTGATTAATGCAGTAAGTCTGGATGACAATGATCAGGAATTTATTTTCTAGATCCAAGCAGTTGCATCTGTAGTTTTGCAATGTCAAATCAGAAGGAATGGATTATATTCAACCTCTCTATTAGTCTTTCATCTTAATTTGCTGTCTCACAGAGGTCACTCACTGTGGGTTTTTATTTTTTCTCTCTTCCCTCAGTTTGACTGGCTGGGCTACATAAAGAAGGTCATTGATGGGAGACTCTACCCCCACCTGAAAGACATCGGTCCCTCAGAGAACGTGGTGGTCCGCGTCCCACAGTACTTTAAAGATTTGTTTAGGATATTAGGCTCTGAGAGGAAGAAGTAAGAACTTTCTTGTGCATTTTACTGTGACTTTTGTTTTTGCTTTAAGTTATAAAGGCCTCTCTTGTCATGCTCTTTAAACACTATTTTTAAGGAAAGTTGCATCAAAAGAGTCATAGGGAAAGTCATGGGGCCCTTGGTGACAAATTGGCCAAATCTGTTGTCTGATGTAATTTACTTCCTGCTTCAACAACAAATACACAATGTTTCTGCCCCTCATTTCTGGCCTTTCTCCATCCTGTTCTCTCCGAGAGCCTAAATTGTTTATTAGTTTTGGGAAATAGTTATGTAACGATGCTGTTTTCTAAGATTTCTATATGAGCATATGTTCTTTTCCTAGTTAATTCTTGGCCTTTTGCTGCTTTTTTCTCTCTGTTTTTTTTTTCTTTCTCTCTCTTTTTTTAAGGCAGTAAGTCAGTTTCTGGCCATTACCCAAGTACCTTTTAGGGGAACTTCAAAAAGTTCATAGAAAAAAAGTGGAATTAAAGTTTGCATTTATTTTGGTGAAAAAAAAATCTGAAATCCATGCATACTTTTTTTTCATAATATGCATTTTCTATTAACTTTTAAAGACCCCCTTCCCTTTGTATTGAGAAGACTTAAGACCACTTTGAGAGCTGTAGACAAATTACACTGAAGCAACTACCTCAGAATCTCAGATTTTTCTCATTGTAAAGACTTTTAGAATTTGTTGCTTTATTGTTTAGCACTACAAGGAAATCTTAAAAAAAATGTCCAGGAAAGAGAATTGTACATGTTCATTAAGCCATTCAGAACTTACAAAAGCAATTTTCTAAGCTGATTGCTGGGTCATGATTAAAAATCACATTTTCTTATTTGGACTAAGACAAAGCTATGTTGCCAGGAGTTGTGTAGAAAGAAAGGAGAAGAAAAAGTGCCTTCAAAAGTTCTAGGAATGAAATGTAGCATTCATCCCCACCTACAAAAAAATTTTGACACCTGTGAAGAACTACTGCTCTTTTCAAGATATATTCTAATAATGAAAGTAATCTAAGTTCATTGCACAAGCATATAGTGAAGGGAGAGGAGAAACAATACATTCACTTAATCTCCTGCCACTTTAGAAGAAAGCTTAGTGATTTGGGGGAAATTTCCTAAGTGAAAATTGAATCTAGAGGTAGATAAGTATATGGGTGGGGTAGAGTCTTGCTATTTGAAGCATGTTCCATGAACCGGTAATGTGAGCACTATCAGCTGGGGCATTTGTTAAAAATATAGATTCACCAGAAGCTTCTGGAGGGGGGGAGGGTGTTCAGAAAAAAATGAGCAACAGACGCAACAATGCATGTAAACAAGTAGAATAGGTTATGGAGCCATATACCACAGCTGAGTAAACAAGTCATGATAATTCAATGTATATAATACTTCTAGAAAACTAATGAATGTATGTATTATGTAATGCTCAATACTGAAGACAATGTATATGTCTATATGCTTGACTTGATTATTATGCACTATATGCATACTTTGAAAAACCATACTGTACCCCACAAAGATGTGCAATGATTATTTGTAAATCAGGAATCATAATTTCAAAAAAATACAGATTCTAAGACCCTTCTTCATAGATAGTGTCTGATACAGTAGAGCTACAGGAAGGCCCAGGAATCTGCATTTTAAGCAAACAACCTCAGAGAATCTCTTCTTAAAAGATTCTTACTTTGATGAGTGAGAGACACAGAGGAAGGGGAGAGAGAGAAAGAGAGAGAAAGCCTAACAGGGTCATTTTTTGCCACAGTCTACCTCCAGACTTAGCCAGCCCTGGATCCTGGACACGTGTGTCAGGCATACTCAGGGAGGTCCCTGAGCATGAACTGTCTCCTATGGCTCAACCTCACAGAGTATTTTACTGGTGTGAGACTGGCCCTGCAGGAGAGTCTTACGATTGACTTTTCTTTTTTCTGTTCTTCTTTTTGATCAATCTATTAGAAAAAACATTTTTTTTTGGAGAGGTTTTTGCCATAGGGCTTGTGTGCTTGCCAGACAGACAGAGAGAGACAGAGAGATAGCAAGCGAGAAATCACCCTCCAGGGCAGATGGCCATGTCGCAATCTCTTCTCCTCTATTCTCCTCTTGGGATCCTGGGCACACACACACGTGCCCCGCGTGGGTTTTAAGCCACTGGGTCTGGGACGCGAACCCTGGTCGACTACAGTAGATTCCAGCGACATAGCCATTATGCTAACTGCTGGTCCCTAGAAAAAACATTTTTAAGTGCATTCTAGCTTTTAAATATGATTTAAAAAAATGATGTAAATGATTTTCTACTGTTATGCCCTTGAGTTATTGAGCACATTTTAAATTTTGATGGTAATTTCAATTGAAAGATGACATTTGCCATGCTATACATTCATTCTTTAGCACTTAATGAGTCAGTTTCTTCTAGTGTTGTGTTATCTTCAGTCATAAAGTAGTAGTGCTTTTGAAAATTGTATTCATTTTATTTCCAAAAAAAGCCTAATTTACAACTGGGGAGAAGGTTGAGTCTTTGTTTACTATATTAAAAAAATCATCTCTATGGTGATGATTGTACTTTAGGATCGCAGGGCCTTTCATGACAGCAGGGAACAGGAAAGACCATAATTGGAGGGGGATTTTACTCTGGTCCTTGTTAAAATAATAACTTGGGTAAATGTAAACATAGCAAACAACAGTAGAAGAAAATATAAATATAAAAGTTACCTACAGAAATTATGTATACATAGCATTAAGTTTAAAAATAGACAAAACCCAGATATCTTTCACAGTTTACCCCTCAAGAACTAATTTATCAAAAACAACTTTGTATTCTGTGTTTTCTTGTGAGCTTTCAAGACCCTATATGAATCTGGAGAAGATGGACGGCACTATTTTTTGCATAGCACAGTGAGGTTTGTACCTTGCTGATCATGTTCAGTCCTCACTCATCTAGCATGTTAAGGCTAGTAGAGGAAAGGTCCTCTTGGATCCCTATAGCTACCATATTAGAATTTGCTGGTTCTTTTAACAAGCACCTTGAAATGCTCATTGGCTTGTACAATAGAAAATAAAACCTCTGCTCATGGATCAGTCTAATGTGGGTTTGCCTATAAGGCAGCTTTCTTCTGACTAGTGAGTTGGCAATTCAGACTCCTTTCATCTTAAAGCTCTGCCATTCTTTGGGTTTCTGTCATCCTCTCCATTCAGCTGGTGGATAGGGAACGAGATAGGGTGGAAGATTGTGTAGGTTTTTGTGGGAAGGCCTAGAAATGGAATATGTCACTTCTACCCTTGTCATGAGTCTCTGCTGTGCCTCTGTTCTGAGAATCTGCCTGTAAAAGTTATACATGAGTCACAATGATGTTAACCATTATTGTGATTAACAGTTATCTTTGATCCTCTTAACAAGCCTATGTGCTGTTTGCATTTTTATAGATGAGGGGTCTGAGGTTAAGTGATTTGCCCAAGGACGTACCTTAATGAGGAAGCAGGATTGAAATTCTAAGTTGAGTCACCCTCATTTCTGTGTCCTCTTTTTTCCATACACATCTCTGAGTGAAAAAAGGGATACTTTTCAGACATTTGACTGCCTGTGTTAGAGATACCAGTGTGTTTTATTGCCAGCTAGTTAGTTATTGCTAGCGTTGGCAATTCTCCTGCCATTTTCAGGGTTCCAAAGCCATTCTGGGTTGGTGTCAGCTGCTCAAGTCTTGACTGCTGCCTCCCCCTTATGTCATACACACTGGCAGCTTGGTGGGCTTAGGCCTCTTTCTGACTAAATGGCTATGAGGCAGTGGCATTGATTTTGGTAGGTGATGCATAGCACAAGACTGGAGAAATGAGATCCCCTAAACATGGTGGTGCCAAAGACTGTGTGGCCCTTGCAGGCCATGGGAGTAGGTAGCCAAGGCAAGGCCATTGGAGGCATGAGCTGGGGGCTGTTGGCAGACAGGAGTCAGGGTTCAAAGTGGGAAAGGGGTAAGGAGGCAGCGATGTGCTGGATCCCTCAAGTTTTGTGTCTCTTCCTAATTCCATGTTCAATGACCTCATGGTGGTAGTCTGAAATTAACTATGGTGAGTGTGTCAAGCCATGGAAATCAGCAAATGCTACAAATAATTTTTTTCCCATGGCAAGACAGCTGGTAAACACTTACTAATACATCACCGGATGAGGGGTGTGACAGACTTCCCTTCCTTTCTGTCCCCCTCAACCCTTCTCCCCACTTTTGACATGAGGCTGCCTTAGACTTTTACCATCTAATTTGATCTGAGGAGCAAGAATGGGAAGGAGACAAGGCCAAGGAAGGATGGCATCAGAGAGAGTAACTTGGGCTCTTCTCCTTGGACAGGCTTGGCCTCCTGAAGATCATCTTTCAGTACTTTTGTAGCAAGCTGGCCTAAAGCAAACTTTTGGAAATTTTTTGGAGCCCCTGTGAGCATTCCTGTCTTTAGTTTTTATCACATAAGCACAGTGCATATTAAAGTATGAGGATATTTGTTGGACAGCGCTCCTAAATGCTTACCTGTAGACCTCTCACAGGGCTCAGCTCTTCTGAGGGTGATTGAGGGCCTTGCTATTCAAAGTCTGGTCCACAGACAAGCAGTACAGCCATTACCCAAGAGCTTGTAAGAAATGCAGAAGCTCAGGGGTGAGCAGGTGGCATGGTGGTTAAGGTGCTAGACTCCCACATGGTCACCTGTGGTTCGAGTCCTGGACCTGGTGGCTTGCTTTCTCACTTTCCCTTTCTCTCTCTCTGTCTCTCTATCTCTCTCTTCTCAAATTAAAAAATAAATAATAATAACAAAATTAAATAAATTATAATTTAAAAAAAAGAAATATAGAAGCTCAGCCTATGCCCCAGGCCTAGCGAATTAGAACCTGCAATTCCTTAAAAAGTTTTATTTATTTAATTTGTTTGTGTGTGAGAGAGAGAGAGAAGAGAGAGATAAAGAGAAACCACTGACAGGGTCTCCATGCCATGGTCTACCCCCAGTTTCAGCCAGTCCCTGTTATGGGTGCA